CTGCAACATTAACTGAATTAGATAACTTTAGCTTAGCGTATAACTCCGTTACACATTAAACGCGCATGCGCACAAACATATTCGCAGCCGTAAGGGTCTTACGCGCTCTCGTAAGCGCCTGTGCGTGAACGCGATGCATGCGCAGAAAGTTTGTAGCTTTGAGGTCCGGATTATAGATCATTCCGGATTATGGGTGTCCGAATTAACGACTTTTGACTGTATACACTATTTACAAGGTAGGTAATAATTATTTTAAGACAGTACATTTTAATTGTTTTTCTCTGAAGTTCCGTAATTCAGAGAAAAACTATTAAAATGTAGCGGTTCCAATCTAGCTTCGTTCTCAGAACTCAATTAGAGAAAAAAGTAAAGGAAGAGATGCCTCCCATCTAGTGGCAAGAATGTGACAAATGCAATCCCAAGCATATGAAAGGGACTGTTTGCTGCTGAGAGTGAAACGGCGAGGATTTGGTCAGCCATATCATGGTATTTATTTTCCATGGGACGCATCATTACTGTGCAAGGTCACATTATTGCCGTTTTGGCTGATCATGTCCATCCCAAGCTTTAAATTTTGATTAGCAATGGTGATGCCATATTTCAAGAATATAGAGCTCCTGTTCACTCAGGTCACATACTCCAAGACTGGTTTTCTGAGTATGAGGGTGTAGGGTGTACATCACAAAGATACATTAGTGACTTTTTTTGACATTAAGGATATTGCTAGTCTTGAATTTTAATTTTGGATTTTTAAGTCATGGTTGCTGTTATATGTTGTGTCATGTTTTTCCATCTTGGTTTTCAAATTTCTCCTCAAAATAGAAAAATGCTGTATACATTTGAGCTGTTTGCTTCTTCTGTTTTTTTAACTTGCTTATCAGTGTAAGGATCTTTGGTTATGAATCTTCCCTTTACTATATATTTTTATTCTATAAGTTTGATATTGTCTTACAATCAAGTGTTTTAGTTAATCAAATTGTAGAGTGACATAAATAAATTTTATATATATAGTATTTATGTATTTATCACAACCGCCTTAATAGAAGTTGCCATTTTTTTTGGAATGTGCTAAAATCTGGCAGTCATGTGCACACAAACTCTTCAGGCAACAAAGTGCATAATAGTTCATCAGTGAAGTAATGTTGAACTTTTTGTGTGCATTTTGATTATTGTATTACAGCCAGTTTGGTTAATCACCAAATCCCTTAGTTTATTTTTAGTTTTAACTACGAAAAATGTATTGCAGCAATAAATAAAATTTATTAACTTATTGAAACATGTTAATACTAAATCAAATTAATAGTTATTTCAGAATAAAAGAATTATAAGTTAAAATATAATTAATCATGTCTTGGCAAACACTTCTGAAAGTAATCAGCATTTTTGAAGACTATATTACATCCATTATAAGTTACTATTACATTACTGTAATTATTAATGCTAATGTAAATAAACATTTTTGATAGTTATAGTATTCTTATCTAAGATAACCACTTTCTAATCCAACTGAGACCATCAGTTAATATTTGTATTTAATTTTGTTTGACATCACTGTATATGGTACACTACCAAGTCTACTGCGTACACTGTGGGGGCAGTTCCGTATTTCCTGTTCTATTGGGCTGATTGATGAAATTCAAATTGTGTTTACATGTCTCAAAAGTGTGACTTAGAATATATATTAGATTTATATATAGCATTCTTCTAACATAGGTATTTTGACACAAAGTCGGACTTTTTCTAAAAAAACAAATTTTTCCCTTATTTCGATTCTACAATTCAAGTTATGCCTAAATATTAAATTTTGTAAAATTTGGTGCGAAATTTATGGAGAAATCCACACATTTATCAAGGCATCTTTTTTTTTTTCAGTTTGCGCCAAGTGAATTCTTGGCAAACCATATTCCTTTTGTTTCTGTTTTGACGGACCGGAAAAAAAAAAAGTCACATTGTTCTTCTTTCAAGTAATTATAACAAAGTGCCTAAACCGCATTTGATATTATTATCGCTTCAACAAATATGCCAAAACAAACAAAACGTGCCGAGGGTTCGCCAAAAATTTTAGCAGCTTTGATATTTCTTTGACTTATTATAATAATTTTACAATTACCAAATATTTTTACACATATCTGAAAATAAAGATAAGACAATGCAAAGCAAAAGCAATGTTTCGACACATTATTTTTATAGTATAAACATTCATAAAATTTTCACATTGTTCTATGTTTTAAAATTAGAAATTAAAGTTAATAACCTAAAACTGCAGTAGTATATTACAGTACAAGTGAAAAATTGGCAGTTTAACTTACTCATGCGTCGAATTTGTGCAATACGTATGGGGTCCTGGGGGGGTTGCAAAAAAAATCTCGGTTATAAAATGGTGTCGCGAGTGAAAGTTTAACATATCCTGCTCTAAATAGTTTCAAGACCTAAACCATGCCTTCTAAAAATCAGTTTGAATGTCTTTTGAAAAGGCATCATGATTCAGTACAAAAGCCTTTCTTAATTTTATTATATTAATATGAAATGATGATAAACCTAGATTCAGTTCATAATAGTATTTTTCTTTAAGAGACTTCATTAAGGTAGTTTAATTGTTAAAGGCTCTCCAATTATGGAAATGTATAATCACTGTCATAGGCATCTTCTCCAAGATTACCACTTCTACAGAACTTTGAATTATCGTGTCTTCTTACATTTATTTCCATATTTTTCGTATTAGCTTTTCATTTCTGTGTGTAAGGACTGAAAATAGTGTGTTATGGCTCCGAAGTATCATTTGGAAGAATTTATAAATTGGCAAATCATCCACTGTTTAGAAGCAGGGCAGGTAAGCATTAAGATGTGAATATTTCAAGACGGAGTTTACGTTCTATAGACACAGTTTCAAACCTCTGGAACTTTCATAAGAAAATTTATATAAGGTCATAAACAAATAACAACTGGGTCCTACAATTGATATCTGACAAAAACTGCCAGTTGTAACAGGAAGTCTGTTGCTGAAGTTTAGAGCTTGCAGCCACAGCTGAAATTGTATGGCGGAAAATTATATAAAAGAAACTGAAAAAACTTACTGAAAAAAGCCTTTTATATAATATTACTATACACTGTCCTCGCAGCAAAAAAGGATGTCTTAAACTGGTACCAAGAAAATCAGAAGTGGAGTGAGCACTAGTGGTCTTTACTAATGAGTTAAGGTTTTGTTAAACATCTGATTCTAAATGTTGACTGTTTTGGTAGTGCAGGTTGAATTGTTTGGAGGAAAAATGAATGATGCTACATGTTTTCAATGGCACATTTGTGACTGGCCAGAGATATCGGATAAGGTCTTAGAACCTTGTGTAAGACTCTTCAGATGTGCATATGGATCTAATGATTTATTTATGGATGATAATGTTGAGCAACCTCATTGACAAATTCGTTGAAAATGAAGACATTAAGCAAATACCAGGGCCAGCAAAATCTCCTGATCTTAACTTGTGAAGAACTTAAGGGACTACGTTGAAAAAGCAATTGCATAGAGATATACTCCTACTAGAGATATAAATGACCTGAAGTTGAAGACAACATTGCTTGAGGAGAACTTTATTCTCCAAATAGTAGTCAACAGTGTTATTTGTCAGCATGAAAATGCATTGTTATATGTTTTTACAAATTAGGAGGGATCACTGTCCATGTCAAATTTGTAAGCTTTAAATCAACTTGCACAGGATTTTGCTAAGTAAGCCCTAAATAACCCGAAATTGTAGTGAGAAAGAGGTATTTTCTTAGTTTTTAATGTCAAAATGCTTTTGGTATTTTATACCGGGAAACGTTTCCCTGTTAATTTTTTGCACATATTTCAAGATAAGATGCATGTATGTATTATTTTTTTAAAGACGTGCAATGCTGGTTAGAGGTTTAATTTTTTCCTTTGAGTTTTTTTTTTAATATCTCCTTGTAGTGCATTATTACCATTTTTATTGTTTCATACAAGTTTTATATCCCTTTTAAATTCTTTCCTTTGTTAATTATGTGTTTTATATTGTTTCACACAAATGCATAAATTCAGCATTGAGAAATCTGATTTCATGCACGTAAAGATAATTATTTATTGTAATAAAAAATATTGTTTTATGTAAAAATAACTTTTCAATCATTCTCATAAGTAATATATATACTGTTAAGATTTGGTGATTTTATTTATTTTTTTTTTCTTACTAATGCACACATATATAAGATGAAACATCTTTAAAAAAATTCTGCATACTTCACATTTTGTTGCTTTCCATTTTAAATCTTTGTCATAAATAGTTAGTTAAATTGCTCATATGATCTGAGAAGCTAAAAAAGCCAGTAAAGTGAATAGATATTAATAAATAAATAAGATTAATAAATAAATAAAAAAATTGTTATGCAACTGGTATATTGGTATTATAAATATTTAATTATTCAGTGATGTCTATATTTCAGCTTTCTGTATCAATTTAAGTATTTTTAAAATGAAAAGTAGAATCTGAATTGTGTGTTGCAAACTGCTGTTAATAATTCAGCAGGAGAAATATAAAAACACATGTATGGCATTGGCTGTTTTGCTAACATTTAATCTTATAGCATTTTTCAGTTTCAGCAATCAAGTTTTTACATTTTTGATTATTTGCCTTTCATATCAATTGTTATTCTTAGATTTTAAATATGAGGATATGTTTGAATAATTACTTTGCAACTGTGTTAAATTGTGTAACTGAAGAAATCATTATTTTAGCTGCTCATATGAGATTGGTCTATAGCAGTTATCTACCGAAAAGTTATACAAAGGTTTTGTGCATTTTTCAGTTCTGTAGTATTAGCATGTGAAGAAATAAATGTTGCCTTTAATTATACTTCATCAGAATCCACTATTATCTATTCATTAGAGCTATTAATGATATGTTAAAATATGCATGTCCATTGAGTGTTATTTAAAAACTGTAAAATATCTTTCAAAATTTTGATTTCAATATTGTGATTTTTATTTTCAGCTACATTGTCAGAAAATCTATAGCAAGAGTTTTGACAGTGATGAATCAAAATCGTAAAGAAAATCTGAGGAAACTGTACAAAAACAAGAAATACAAGCCAAAGGATTTACGGCCAAAAAAGACCAGAGCTATGCGCAGAGCTCTGACAAAAAGGCAACAAAATCTGAAGACTCCAAAAGAGTTGAAGAAGATACGTGCATGGCCTTTAAGGAAGTTTGCTGTAAAAGCTTAGATGACTATTAAAAGTTCTTAAAAAAAATTTCTTAGCATTATTTTATTATTATTATTAGGTTTTTAATCACAGGGGTTTTAAAAGAATTTTGGATGAATTTAAGAGCACAATTGAAATCTATGGGCTTCATAGAACCTAAAAACTAACTTTTTAAAAATAATTTTATGCTTTAATTGCATATCTATTTTTTTTTTATCTTTCATGGCTAATCCTTTATTTTAGTTTGAAATATCAAATCTCTAAGTATAAAGTCATCATTTTTAGTGCTTTGAGAATATTTTACTTTACTTAATTCTAAATTTTGGTGTAAATTTGATAAGGCTGATTTAAAATCGTGCAAATTTATATCTGACAAGATTTATTGAAATTTTTAATTTGAAATCCTAAAAAATTAGTACACAATTACTAGAATAAGCATTTTTACTAATTCTTTTATTTGTAGCTAAAATTAGCTTCCGTCAGTAAAGCATATAATACATTTTATTTCGAGCACATTTTCGTTTTGAAATTTTTTTTTGTGTGAAAACGATACTAATTTTAGATCTACAAGAGAAGCATCCTGACTGCTCTAAATAGTGAAGAGATTTGTCAGCATGGCTAATTTCCATGTTGTCTGTCACATTTGTGTTTCATCATTGTCCTTAGTACTATTCTTATGACTGCAATTTTTATTAGTGTCAGGGTACATAGTTCTTTGTTACTAAGACTGAAAACTTGATTCACATATTTCATTAATGATACAAAAGATCACTGTAAAGGCAAGTTATTTAAAATATTGAATTTCAATACTCTTTACAATGTTACTGTAATTTTCAAAAGATTTCTTTAGAATAGGTTAACACAGGCCTGGTTAATAGATATTCTACTTCAGTGATTCCAGTCTTTCATGCATCACAAAAGAAAACATTTTAACCTCAAGCAATGAATTATTGGGATTAAAAAAATACAGAAGAATAAATAAAAAAGCAGTTTACAAAAGTTTGTCAGTTTCAAAATGCTGTTATAAAACAGTGATCATTCAACAATACTAGAGAAAGTCATTACTAAATTGAAAAATAAAAATTTTTGATTAGGTCTGAAATCCATGTGATAAATGACACAATGGTATATGACTTAACTTTGATAAGAGAGAGAACTAATTTTTGTGTGTAATAACAGATTTAATTTTAAAACACTCAGAAGAATCAATTTCTTCTGTATTAATCTATATGATTATCAAAACAATAACACAAAAAACTTGAAGTGTGCTGATACAATTTTCTGCATCTTAGTTGTGCGAATTCGAATTTGACCAGCATAAAAACAGAAAAGATTCACTTTTAAAATTTGAATCATGAAATGAGAGTAGCATTATCATTTTATAGTAGTGTTATCATTATTTTACAGTACATTTTTAGTAATTTAAAGATTTGGTAGCATTCTAACAGTAAGATAAATTAAAAGGAATTAATTAAATGTATTTTGTAAAGTACCATACGTTTATAATTTTTTAAGAAATATTAAATACATTTGCATCATAAAATTTTTATTTAATAATAAACTACATTTGATGTGAAAATGATAACACTACTATAAAATGACAATGCTACTCTCATTTCATGATCCAAATTTTAAAAGTGAATCTTTTCTGTTTTTATGCTGGTCAAATTCGAATTCGCACAACTAAGATGCAGAAAATTGTATCAGCACACTTCAAGTTTTTTGTGTTATTGTTGGATAATCATATAGATTAATACAGAAGAAATTGATTCTTCTGAGTGTTTTAAAATTAAATCTGTTATTACACACAAAAATTAGTTCTCTCTCTTATCAAAGTTAAGTCATACACCATTGTGTCATTTATCACATGGATTTCAGACCTAATCAAAAATTTTTATTTTTCAATTTGGAAAGTAATGACTTTCTCTAGTATTGTTGAATGATCACTGTTTTATAACAGTATTTTGAAACTGACAAACTTTTGTAAACTGCTTTTTTATTTATTCTTCTGTATTTTTTTTAATCCCAATAATTCATTGCTTGAGGTTAAAATGTTTTCTTTTGGTCCTAGCATACTGTCTTGCTTATCTGACATAACTTATATATGGATATTCACAGTGATGTTAAGGTATAGGAAAATTGTACATGCAATATATGAGGGGGAGGAATGTTGGTAGAGAATCATTACTGTATAAGCAAATTTATCTTTAGAGAAGTTGTAAATCTGTCTTAAGATTTTAGTCAAATTTGAGGAGTATTTTAAATTTAAAACTTGCATTTTGGTTTTACAAAATAATAAGCGTTTAAGAAAATCCTACCTAAATTGTACCTGACATGTATTTCCTCACATGTGATATTTATGACAAATACTGGCTGTATATGCTTTTATGAATTTTATCATTTCAACACTCAAAACTGCAAAGTAAGCTCTAAGAAATTGAGAGTTTGTTTATCAGCTTCTTAAAAAAGTTTGTTGTATCTAAGATTCTTATTAAATCTTGGGTAATTAATTATATGGCAAAGTACTCAAACCAAATCACTCAAGAAGAAATACAGGGTTATTCAGAAAGGAGGACCCAGTTCAATTACTATGTATTTTACAAAGTATAAATCAGATATGAACACTCTAGATACCGGAGGAAAGATGAAGTTCCAAAGTTTTGTTTAACACAGTTGGCACAGTGATAATTATGTAAATGGCTAATAGGGTACCTACTGGCAGGCATTTTGTTTCATTGTCAGTTATGAGTAAGATGGTTACGATGCTGCATAAGGTTTTCTTCCTTCTCGAATTTGTTCGTTTACGATTTGGTATTAACCTACCAAATAAGAAGAGCATCAAACGGTTTATGCAATTTCGAAAGATTGCATGTCTGCAAAGGAAAAAGCTTGGGCTGACTACATGTGCTATGGTGGTTCGTGAAATGATTTTGATAGTCCGCAGAAAAATTGGGACATTATTTATATTGTTATGATGATTCAGTTTAAAAAATAATGAGTAACATATTACAGAATATGTATTATACTTTTTTTAAAATTTTAGCAGCTACTATTAGTGAAATTCTAACTGTTGATCGATGCCGCCATTGCTGAGTAAGTGATGATATTATGTTTACAATAATTAAAAATTGGCAGCATAACGCTTTCTGTTTATTGATATTGCTTTGCCGGTTTGTACAGCTTTTTGTACTCTTCATACAATTTTTCAATGTGAACGAAATATATGTATCAGTGAGATGTGAATAGTGTTTTAATTGTTACTCGTAATCAGGGGCCTAGCCTGAATATCCATAAAGGCATGTTTCGAAAATTATATTAGCAAATGAAAATTAGAATTTCATGTAATGGAAAGTTGAATAAAAGTTTTAGCATATTGATGTTTTTAAAGTCTCATTTAAGGTTTTTTTTTTTTTTTAAATTCATGTTAGTGGTCTGCCAGATGTAAAGTTATGTATGTATTGGTCTGTGAAGTTCTAAGAGTTGACGACCGCTGTGCTAGAGGATGATAGGTCAGTGAAAGGCAATTTTGTGTGTAGTCCAAGAAAGTGAGCTAGTAGATAACTGGGAATACCCGAACCAAGTGTATGGCGTGTTTGCTCTACAAGCCCTACCTTTTAGAACTTGTTCACACATCGTGGAGGGGGAAATTCTCGCCGCCGGCGAGTTTTCCCCTCCGCTTTCTAGCGCCACTATAACAAACTGATTTGCAATACATCTATGAAACTTTTCTTTCTTTACATAGACGTTCTTACATTAAAACAGTACATGGGGCTATTCTAGTCTCCATAGTACCATATATTAGGATTAAACCGATTTTGTTGTATACGAGAATGGGAAGGTATTTTCTTTAGTTCAACATGCACTGCACATGCGAGTCTTTAAGATTCTCGAGGTTACTGGAAACCAGACTTGCCAGAAACTTGCTTTGCCTTTCTAAAAGAGAACCTGATTGGAGCTGCGAAAATTGGCTCTACGCAGCAACCAAACGACATCGCTTCCAACATTGGTGCAAAACTTGCTTTTTTGGGTATCACCGTATGACATTCTCTGACTTTTCCAGATTTTGACTAAAATATTTAAATTCCCTGATTTTTTTGGTCAACTTTCGAATTTGCTGACTTTTTCTGGTTTTCCAGGTATTGTGGCAACCATGTGATATGCTAGAAAAGTGTGAATAACATATTTCAACTGTACTTAATTTTAAATAAAGCTACATTCCACCTTAGTGACAAAATGAATCGACACAATGTTTGTATATTGGGTCTGCACAATCCCCATCCAACTCTGCAATGTGAGAGAGACTTTTTTTGGTCAACTTTCGAATTTGCTGACTTTTTCTGGTTTTCCAGGTATTGTGGCAACCATATATATGCTAGAAAAGTGTGAATAACATATTTCAACTGTACTTAATTTTAAATAAAGCTACATTCCACCTTAGTGACAAAATCGACACAATGTTTGTATATTGGGTCTGCACAATCCCCATCCAACTCTGCAATGTGAGAGAGACTTGGCAAAGCCAAACCTGTTCTGTACTTTATCACGGACAAAAGTGTGACAGAGTGACCATTCTTTTTTGCGGAAAGCACTGTAAGTGAAATAATGTACCTGGACATGTTGGAACAATGCCTTTTTCCTCAACTTAATGAAGGTTCACATGATTTCATTTTCCAACAGAATGGAGCTCCGTCCCATTGGCACCATGGTGTCTGAGGATTTTTTAATGTCCCTTAGTGATGGAATGGTCGTATGGAAAATCGTGACTTGGCGCTATACTTCTGACCACTGAGATCTCTGGATCTCGTGTTGTGTGACTTTTTCTTGTGTGGCTATGTTAAGGAGGCTGTTTGTCCCAAAATTATCAACAACTGACTGACCTACAGAACTGTGTCACTGCTGCAGTACACTCAGTAACACAAAGCAAGCTTTTTCGTGTGTGAGACAAGTTTGTCTACAGCTTAGATGTTTTCCTTGCTGCAAAGGGGGACACATTAACCTGTGTACATAAACTTTGAAACTTCCTCTTTTCATTAGTATATGGATTGTTCATGTCCAATTTATGCTTTGTGAAATACAGAGTAATTGAATTGGGTATATCTTTTTGAATAACCTTGTATTTCACTTCATGCTGTGCCATAAAATATATCATTAGGTGACAAAGGATTATCAAGTGATTACTAAACATTTAATTTATGCAGTGAATGTTTTATTAAAAGCATGAAAGATTAGCTTTTTATTTATGTACATTGAAAGCTTCATGTGTTTGGACAAAACATTGTGCGAAAGTTGCCATATATACTGCATTTATAAACTGACCAGTTGGTAAGATTCATTTTTAAAATTTCCAACATAAAATTACACCATTGTACATTGCATATCATTCCACATATATAAGATTATGGTTCTGCCTTTGCTTTTAAGTCATCGTATATAAATATGTTGGACATGCATTATGGCCAAGTTATTTATTTATTAAATGTGTTTTTCGTATGGTAGGACGATGCTGTGAACTTTTCTGATGGGCTCTTAATCCAGCCAGTTGGGAATATGCACTGAGGCATATGTTACATTTATATGGTCTTTCTCCTAAAAAAAGTAATATAAAGTTAAAATAAGTATGCAGATCAAACTAGTAACTGTATATGAAAGTTTTTCTAAGTTTAAAATGTAATACTATTGTTAAATATCCTAATGATGCAAAAATTGTTATCAAATCATCAAAGATATTTATAAAAATACGCTAGTATGTAATATTACTAAATATCCTAATGACACAAAAAGTATTATCAAAGATATTTATAAAAACATGTTAGTATCACATTTAGTTTGGAGTTAGTTTTTTAGCTAATGCAGGTGTCTTAACCTAAAAAACATGCATAAACCTACAGTGACCGAATTACAGCTTTTCATCACTTTCATTTAATCCATATTCAGTAGCCATATGTGAATATTTGATTTCTTTAATGTTGCTGTAGGTGTGGCAGTTATTTGGATAGATATAGTCATGTTTTTTTTTTTTTTTTTTTTTTTTTTTTTTTTTTTTTGTTTGTTTTGTTGTTGTTGTTGTTGTAATCTATTTAAGGGGTTCCTAAGCTAAGAGCACATTCTAGAATATCTTTTGGACTGCGGGCACCATTTACGTTTTGAAGGTGAATTAGTTAATACAATGACGTAAAAAAAAGAGATTGTTCGCTTTGTGATGGTATCTTTGTTACACACAATTTGTATTTCATTAAAATTGAGAAAATTTTCATACAGAATTTTATTGAAAACTAAAACATTTTTGTGATTGCACAGTGGCAGTCACAAGTTAAACGATTGGCGGGTGCCATGGTGCCCACGGGCATAGGGTTGGGAACCCCTGCTCTATTTCAAAGTGAATAATTTAATATTTTTTATAAGAATTGATCAATCAATAACATCAAAAGTGGAAACATTACTTAACCCTCTGAGTGAAATGGCTGTATTTAACCAGCATTTATTGGTTAAATTTGTATCACTTATTTCAGTCTTCTCTTTACATTAACTTTTATTCATTAAGATATTAACATCATTAAAGGAAGTAAGAAAGCAAAATATTTTAAATTGTAAGCTAATATATATGAATTAGCAAAAATGTCCATTTGTTCAACCAAAACAGATTCCAGATAATAATTCTATAACTAATAAGATCCATTGAACCACTTGCTGATCGCAGTCAATTAATTCGTTAGGTTATACGCCTCTATTACCATAATCAGAAGGATTATTTTTTTCCTTGAACGCGACTCAATTTCACTTAAGGAATGATGGTTTGAATTATTGACACTATATTGGCTGCGAAAGGAAACCATCTTCGTGATTCAGAAGCAATCAAGAACAAGGTATTAGTAGAATCCGACCATGCAAAAGCAATTACTAGCAGGAACAGTTAAATATTTCATTATTGCTTTGAGTGGATTTGCTAACAATAATGCAGCTCATGATTCTAGTCTTGGTTTGGAAACTAAAGATTGCACTTTTAGTGGTGCACCTCTTGTTTTTGCACATATCAATGACGCGTAAATTTCTTCTTCAGGAAAAGATTTAGCATAAATAATTGCACAATACGCCTTCTCAGATGAATCACACGAAAGGTATAGCACTCTGTCTTATGATAAATAAAATCATTCTAGGAATTTTTAATTTACTAAGGTAATTTAAGTTTTCATGAAAGCAAGTCCAAATCGTCCATCGTTGTGGATTAAGATCTTAAGAGAGCCATCCCAATCTACTTGTCTGTCCTTAAGTCTGAAGAAATATTTTTGTAGAAACTAATAAAACATTAACTGGGGCCAAAGGGACAGAAGAGTCTCACAAACTTCTGACAACACATTCCTTTTAGTGTCAAAGATAATTATAAGGTAGGTATGTTAAAATCGTGTGTCACTGTGGGGATGCCAGTTTATTCTCAACATCTTCCTTCGTTGTTCCTTGAAAATGTCCAGCTGAGGTATATTTCTCCGAGTTTGCAGTTCTAATATATCAGGTATATTAGATGACCATTTCCGAAATATAAGGCCGCTTCTACCCAGATTATTATCTGTGTCATGTTAAATTTTTGGCAGAATTCTTGATGTAATGCCTATTAAAAGATCAATATAAAAATCAGATTTGACAACTTCCAAAGTCCTTTGAAAATCCTTTTGTTCATCTAAAGCTAATTGGAGAAGAGAATAAGGTGATATACGAGGGTTGGAACTTTAATAGTGGCAACACAGCTGAAAAAACGCTACGCAACCAAACCAAAGAATATCGCGTATACCACACGTAAACTACATACCTACCTTACCTCTCAGCAAAAAGACTCGTCCTGCCTACGTCACGCGCATGCGGAGTGACGCGAAGAACGAATCCTTGTATTAGCTCGCGGTCTAAAGTAAGCGTTGTCAGGATGTTTTCAAAACAAGAACAATGTTGGATAAAAGTTGAATGTGCCAGAGGTTGTACAGCACGACCTCTGGCACATTCTTGTGGCACTAGACCGGTCTGCATTGCCTTACAGAACCGTAGCAAGATGGGTGAAAGCATTCAATGAAAGACGCCAAAACGTGGCAGACATGCTGCGGCCAGGTCGTCCGAGTGTCCAAGAGCTCCGAGAGCCAAACGATTCGTCAGCTGGCCGGACAAACAGGATTAGCGCATACGACTGTGCTGTACATTCTGAAGGAACGCCTGTCCATGAGAAAAATTGCTTCACGATGGGTTCCTCATCAATTGACGGAAATGCAGAAATGGCTACGTTACGATGCTGCCAGAACCCACCTGGAGCGCGAAGGAGATGCTTTTTTACGCCGTATCATTACGCTGGATGAGACTTGGGCCCGATCGTACCAGCCAGAACTGAAACGCCAATCAAACGAATGGCATCATCACGGGTCACCACGACGTTCGAAATTTCATCAGAACCCCAGCAATGTGAAAGTTATGGGGGTTCTCGTGTGCAACTGTGATGGTGTCATCCTAACGCATACCGTTCCCCCACTAAAGACCGTCACTACGCAGTATTACTGCTCATTTTTGGAGCGCAATCTCCGGCCAGCTTTGAGAAAGAAACGGCGACACTTTCTGCAGAACGCTCCTCTCATTTTGCATGACAATGCTCGGCCGCATGCAGCGCAAGCTGTGACTAATTTCTTCAAGCGATGGGGCTGGGAAGTGCTTTACCATCCACCATACTTGATCTAAGATCTAAGCCCTTGTGACTATGACTTAATTCCTAAGATGAAGGAACCACTTCGTGGCACTCGCTTCCAAACTGTTCCTGAGATTCTTGCGGCACTAGACCGGACCATTCAAACTATCAACAAAGCAGGCTCTGCTACAGGTATTCTGCGACTTCCACATCGTTGGAAACGGGTTGTACACAATGCTGGCGACTATATTGTAGGACTGTAAAACATGGTGACATGAATCACTTTTGTATTCCTTGTAAATAAATAGTTGCCACTATTAAAGTTCCAACCCTCGTAAATGGTGTAAGGGAAGTTCCGTATGTCACCGTTTAGAGTATTATCTTCGATTGGTTGATTGGCATGATTTCCGCAAAGAGAAGTTTCTGTCTTCTTGATGCACACAAATTTGTCTATACATTTATTTCTATAACTGCGCAGATAGTAACAGCATATGTTCTAAATCGGACGAGAATGTCAAATAATTCTGGTTGAATTCTAGGGCCTACGTGCAGCACACAGTTAAATGAATTTCCCCCTAGACTTTTTTTCTGATATGTCAAATGCAACTCTTATTTTAGTGCTAGAACTTGATGGCTTAAAAACTGGGTGGTGAGGTAAGTAATAAATGACTGGGGGGGGGGACAAGTTCAGAATCTGGTATGAATTCCATGTGTTGCAAGCCAGATTTGTTAACCAACCTATTTTCTAAAAGTGAAAAAAACCTCCTTAATTCCCTTGAATCTTCTAATTCTGATGGCAATGTTTTGAATGGTCATCTTACAACGTATGTACCTGCACTCAGCCTATTATGAGAGTTTTTAAAATGTTACTCACACTTTACTTCGGATTTCGAGAGAGCAATGTCTTCCGGGACTGTTTTGAGGATCCGAAATTCCTTAACTAATTCCTGAGTACTCTAAATTATTCAACAATATGCTAGTATTAAATAAGGCTGTTCTTGAAATGATCCAACTTAATATAATCATCCAGTAAATGCGTACATGGAATGTCAATCTCTCGAACAGCAGTTCACTCTAAACTTTTCAGCGGTTTATACGATGCCATTAAACCTTTCGGCGGTTCTTCTGATAATTTAATAGAATCTTTTTTAAATGGCATAGAAGAATTATTTCAACTGAATAGAATTACGAGCAATATTCACAAGATTATATTTACAAAAAAAAAAAAAAAAAAAAATATTTATCGGGCTCGCTAAAACATTTGTAATGTCAATATCGCCAAATTCCGAGTGTACCGTATACTAGGAATAAATCAAGCATTTTTAAATGCATGGAGACGTACAAAAACGTAACAAACAGTTCATCAGAACTTTTATAGGTAATGAATTTCGCATTTTTGTTCACAGTTTCTCTAATTTTGATGTTAACATTTATTAATAATTTATTAAAGCCATTAATTTTGTCGTTTTCCCATTAAAAGTGTAATATTTATTTCTCCTTTTACATTAATTTTTTCGTTCTGCTTCTCCTGAGATATTTTGGACAGCCGTTTATATGAGTAGATATGCAACGTCTTTTAACATGGACGTTTCCTCGGAATTCTTAAAATTGCCCATTTATAATCGTGAATATTCTTCACGCACAATCATATCTTCGCGAAAATTGTACTTTTTGCTCTGTATGCGGTAAAAATGTTTCATATTATGTCAGCATATTAATTCAAATAAATTCTTCCTTCAAAAATAATAAATAGTCATATTTCAGCAGCAAAATAATTGCTAACAGGGCATTTGCATTGATTTCGGAAATATGATTTTTTAAAATATATAAAATAACTTAATAACTTACTTTATAGATTAGTTTCATTTAAAATATTTTGCTATAATTTTTATAAAAAATATTTAAATATTAAACATTTTAACAAAAATTTAAC